AAGATCCAAAAACCCTTAAGTGTGAAATATTAGGTTTCTTATTATATTTTAATTGGTATGGAGTTTTATAATTAATAGAACTATTAGGGGTTCTATTATATAAGTAAACTGCAGTACAAATAGCATCTCTCCAGAATTCTAAGGGTAAATAGCTGTTATATAATATAGCCCTACCTTTATTAAGTAAAGTTCTATTTATTCTTTCTGCAGTACCATTTTGTTCTGGTGTATAAGGACTAGACCTTTGATGTATTATAGCAGAATCAGCTAATTTAGCTGTAAACCTACTATTAACGTATTCAGTACCATTATCAGTACTTAAAATAGTTATTTTTTCATTATTAGGGCTATTTGCCTCAGCTATTGATTTAAATAGCTTAAAAGCTTCAAAAGCTTCATCTTTAGTAACTAATAATTTAATTTCTAGATATTTAGTATAATTATCTAGAAAAGTTATAAGATATCTTTGATTATTATAGGTTTTAGGTCTTATAGGGCCACATAGATCGCTATGGACTTTTTTTAAGTATTTAGTAGTCCTATCATTATTAGATATTTTATTTATTTTATTAGTTAGGTTAGATTTAATACAAATTTCACATGTAGTGAAATTATTAGGTTTAAAAGGTAGGTTTAAACCTATGGTACTATTATTTAGTTTATTTAAGTGGTTAGTACTTATATGTCCTAACCTATTATGAATAAGCATTTCATTGTTTAGAGTATTTAGTATATTTATATTATTAGTATTATTTTTTAATACTTTAATAGGTAAATGATATAAATTTCTCTTTTTACTAGCTTTAGTTAAAAGTTCATTATTTCTTTTAATAAAAGCGTAGTTTTTGGTAAAGGTAGTAGTTATATTATTATGAGTACTAAGAACTCCCTGACTTATTAGATTAATACCAATTTGAGGCATGTATAGACAGTTTTTAAGGAGTAATTTAGTATTAGTATCTATAAATTTAATATAACAGTCTCCATGTAATTTAATCGTAGTTGTTTTTGCTTTTCCCCAGCTTACTTGTTTATCACAAGGTTTTAAGGATATAAAATAATTTTTATTAGTTATGACATGTGCTTCTGCAGCCGTATCTAATACAAAATTATATATGTATATATCCTTATTTTCCTTAATATTACTACTATTATTTTTATTAGTTATAGTAGTATTAAGTATATTAATAGGGGAATTTACCTCGATAGCTGTATCAAAGTCTTCTGAATAATTAGATGAATTATCATCATAATTATTAGTTTTATTAGATTCTGAGTTAGAATCTGATGTAGAGGCTTTAGTATTACAGTCTCTAATAATAAGAGCCCTATTTGGTGGGCTATTATTGATTTTATTATTAGGATCTTTAGAGATATCCCAATTTTCAGGGGCTAAGGCTGGATTTAAGTAAAAGCACTTATTAGTATTATGGCTAGTAACTTTGCAGTTATTACACCATAATCCTTTAGTCTTTTTCCAGCTGTTTTTGCCCTTAGTTACTTTATAAGACTTATTATTAGGGTTATTATTGTTTTTATAATATTGCCCTTTTTTATAAGTTTTATAATTAGTAACTAGTATTTTTGTTTCTTCTTCCTTAGAATTAATTCTCTTAGATTCATCTATAATACTACTAATTAAAGTAGTTATAGTATAAGAATCTGATTTATTTCTAAGGTGCTGGGTAATATTAGATATAAAACCCTCGAATATATCATTATTAAGCCCATTTAAAATCCAGGCTAATAATAGGTCTTTAGGAATATCTAATTTTCGAGCTTCTAGCTCATTAGATATTTCTTTAACCTTATTAATATATTCTTCAATATTATTATAATTGGATAACTTATTATCTAGGAAATCCTGAAATAATAGATTGTTTGAAGTAAATCCTTTAGGATTATAGGTTTCCTTTAATATGTCCCACGCAGATTTAGCAGTTTCTGCGTGTTGGATTTGTATAAGAGGACCATCTTCAACATATAATAATATTAGGCTAAAAGCCTTTTTTTTTTGTTTCCTTAATAGTAGGAGTTTTATCCTCTACATCAGAATTATCACTATTATTATCACTATTATCATTAATAGGATTTTTTATAATAGCGTGGCTTAAATCTTTAGTAATTAGACAATCCTGCATCCTAACTGCCCAAGTAGTATAGTTTATACTACCCTTAAGCTTAGGAATAGAAAGGGACTTATTATTAGAAGAGTCCATTTTTTAATATTAACAATAATATATTTATTATTATTTATACTAAAATAAAACAAAACTACTTAATTTTACTTATATAAGTAGATTAAAATACGACTGATAGATGCGTATTTTTAAAGAATTATAAGACTGATAGATGCTTATAATTCTATATATTCCTTTAATATAAAAGATAAAGATCTTTTATGATAGGAATTATATTTTAATAAAAACTGGGAATAGTTTTATTAAAAGGTTGTCTATTTCTAGATAAATAGTCCCTTTAAGACTTAAAAAATAGGAATAAAAGTTCTTGAAAGATACTCTTTTAATTCCTGATATAGGATTTCATTAATACCAGGTTCTGTGGTATAATAAAATTCGAAATCCTCCTTTTTTGATAGGTTTAAATCGGGTATTAAGTGAAAATAAGTGATATAATCAGGTATTTTGTCGTATTCAGAGGAATCAAAACCCCTGGGCTCATAACCTGTAAAAGCGTGTATAATGGAGGTAATGTTATTAAGAGTAGGGGTAGTATTTAATATAATAAAAGGGGGAAACTTTTCGTTTTGTTGATTATTATAGTAGAATTCCTCGTATTCAATAATAACCATTTATAACCAGTATAAATAGTTATTACTAATATAAAAGAAATAATACTAATAATAATGAATAGTAGGTAGTCATAATAAGTAGTTAAATAGATAAAACTGTTGAATTGCTTTGCATCTTTTTTATAGCGCTAGTAATATTTACTTTTACTTAAATTTTCCTTTTAGGGGGTACTTAGTTAGGTGTTGGTAGTTTTTAGATACATAAATATAAACTTAATTAATAATTAATAATAAACTTAAATTAATAAATAAGAAATAGTTTTTTTTATATTTATTATTTTATTAAATAGGCTTAGTAAGTAATCTTTAAAGTAAGCTATAAAAGTTTTTCAGTTTAATTTAAAGTAAATATCTCTTAAGTTCTACTATTTAAAACTTAGATAAAAGAAAATATTATTAGTCTTTTTTAATTTTAATTAATTTTATTTTATTTTAATTGTTTTATTATATTTCTTAAGTTATTTAAAACTTAAGAAGAAAAAGGTATCATAAAAATAGTACTACATAACTTCTTTCTAATAATTAACTTTTTATTAAAAAACTATATAACTTAAGAAATGAAAATAGTAGAAATTATAAATGAATATAATTTAATAAAAGTTATATTTATATTAAGGTTATAGTTATAATGCAGCCTACTTATAAAACAAACTATAGTAAAATTCACCTTATATATAAGTATAATTCTAAAAACACTATATAAAAACTTTAACTTATACCTTCTATTAATAGTAGAAAATAGTAACATAGTTTATCAGTCAGCGACGAATATCAGTTAGCAACAAACCTTTTCCTATCCACATAGTGGTATTTACTATTGCACAACCACAACACATTCAATTAACTATTCCTCATTACTACTCAAATCATTTGACAATTCCACATCCTTAGAACAGGTTCTCGCATTATGACTGGTCTCGCCACACACACTATAGCGTCTCTGAGCTAGCTGGGCTCTCTTTAATAGAACCCCCTCCTCATCCTCTCGAGGTGCTGGACGTTTCCCTTTTTGTTTCCCTTCAAGCAAAACCTGAGATTCCTCTATACTAAGTGCCCCTCTAAGCTGGACCTGCGTTCTTTTAGCCCTCTGGCGCTTAGTAAGTGCTATATTTGCATCCTCAAGGGTATGAAGCCGATCAGTCAAAATAGTGATTAAGTGCGCTATTACTTATGCACCCTTTAATAATTGCTTAACTGCAGTAATAATTAGTGTTAGTAAGCTTCCTTAATAAGTAGAGATATAACTTTTGATGAAGTTAGACTGTGAGATAGTTTGTTATAGGTTAGAGGGCGTTTGCGACTGCTAAGGTGGTAGTGTTAAAAGGTTAGCTATAGGAGGTGTAGGCGTCTGTAAATACATATCAAGCTTTTTGATAACATGGTCTAGGTCCTATAGTGAAATTCCAGCGCCTTAGAAAGCAGACCTGATGTCTTCCTTATTAAAAACCTTATTGTGGGCCTGTTAGAAGGCAATAAAGAACTCTGACTTGGTGATGTGATTTATAGAGGCTCTGATGAATAGGTTGATTTCATCATTATATATGCGTTTTAAAGGTGAATAAAGGGTAATACCTAATAGCTGTAGTAGATATAATAAGTGTGCAGGCATACTAATAGTTATAATATTGTTCTGCTTATAGTAATTATTAAATTCAGCTGATAAATAGCTCTTATAGCTGTTAATAATAAGCATCTAGTAGGCGCCCTCTATTCAGTTCTTAGTGTGTTTGTTGAAGTGTTTAATCCAGTCAAGGCCTATCTGATTATCCGTCCATCTATTAGCTGTGGGTTTAATCACCTAGTTGCCCAGAAAACCTGATTCCATGGTCTAACTGGCAAGTTGACATACGCCCTTAATAATCACAAACGGAGGGATGCACCACCCACCCAAATTAACATATTTAATGACTATAGCCTATTCACAGTTGCTAGGCTGGACAGACTTTGCTTTGCTGCGTCAATCAGCGTATATTACTACTATTAACGTAGTGATTATGCCTATTATGAAGCCAGTTTTATTGAAATTATCTAGGTCCCCCTCTTAGATGCTATACTTAGCCATTTTGTTGCGTAATAGTGCAAACCACTTTAATATAACCTCAGGATCTTCTTACAGAGCCTTTTAATAATCGTATAGATGATTGAACTTGGTTTTCAGAGCAGGCTGTGAGTCTATAAACCGCCTGGCCTATCGCTTGCCAACAGGCTTGCCATTACGCGCGAGCAGCAGGAGATTAGCCATATCTTCCACACTGCTGAGGCGTAAAGGAAATCCTTTAGAATCCTGTTCAATAACGTATTAGAGAAGTGTTCTTTCTTTAATTAGATTAAGTTTATGTCGTTAGGGTTGGGCAGGTTTGCGTCGGGGTCGATCGTTCATTCTATAGCGTACGGAACTTTTAGGGACACCATAAGTCTTCGCAGCACGCAACACACTTAGCTTTCGGCCGGCAGCGCAGGCTGATCGGATCGCCTCGATAGCTAGAAGTATCTTGTCTTCTTGTGTGTAAATTAGCATGATGGTTGCGGAGTAATTACGCGCCGAAGCTTTAAGTGGTTTGGTGCAAACCGCGTTTGGGAAAAAGTTTGTCGCTGACTGATATTTGTTGCTGACTGATGAACCACGTTATAGAAACTTTATATATTTTTATTAGTAAATAAACCTCTCTAAATATTATAAAGTTAGATATATATTTTAACTAAACAAATTAATAGAATAATAATAACGCGAGCTATATGTAAAAGCGTGTATAATAGAGGTAATATTATTAAGAGCAGGGGTAGTTATTAATATAATAAAAGGGGAAAACTTTTCGTTTTGCTGATTATTATAATAGAATTCCTCGTATTCAATAATAACCATTTATAACCAGTATAAATAGTTATTACTAATATAAAAGAAATAATACTAATAATAATGAATAGTAGGTAGTAGTAATAAGTAGTAGTTAAATGGATAAAACTGTTGAATTGCTTGCTTCCTCAAAATCTGTTCTAAGTGGAAAAATCTATCATATATATAATACATTTTTTCCTCGCAAACCTTTACTTAGTTAGGTAATTACTTAATTAAGTAATTACTATAATAGGTAATTAACTGTAAAAACCTTATTATAAAGTTAATTATTACGGCTTTGTTTAATCCGATTCGGGTATTCTAGATCCGTAGTATTATTATAGTTATAGTTTATAGATTTGTTACGGATTATTAGTTTCCGTTGTTTTGGTTTCAAATCTTAACTTAATATTAACTTTAGTCAATAATAACTGTATTATTAACTTTTAGGGAATTGTTGTTCCGTTGATATATACTTTTTATGGTAACTAACCTAATATATAGTTTTTATTCGTTTTGGCTAATCGTAGGCATTACTATAATAGGTAATTTATACGAGTGTGCTTTTTATTCTAATTTAGACTAAGTTGTAGTTACTTTATTCTTTTTAGTTATATTAATATGTAATTAATAGTTATAAGGTTACTTATTTAATTATTAGGTGTAGTTTTACTAGCTACACTAGTAGTAGTAATCTTAGCTTTACATCTTTTTTATAGCGCTAGTAATATTTAGTTTTACTTAAATTCTCCTTTTAGGGGGTACTTAGTAGTTTTAGACTATATAATATAAAGGTAGTAGTATAAAGCTAGTAGTATAAAGCTAATAGTGTTATATATAGTAAAGTTGATTATATTAAGGCTGAATAAGTTACTAAAGCTTTCATAATTTAATAATAGCTTTATTAACCTTCTTAATAAAGTTTTATAAATAATATTGCATAAAAGATAACTCCTTAATTAAAAAGCTTACTAAAAGAGAGTTTTATAGCTATTAATATAAAAACTCTACTATATATAAAGCTTTATACTTATCTCTTTTCTTCTTCCTTTCTAATTTATAATAAATCCTTTATAATATATATATATTATAAGAGATATAACTATAAAAATATTAATCCTTTATAAAATATGCTTTTTTATAGATAAATAGTTAAAAGTATTGATATTTAAAATAATGTCTATATGCTTAATAAGACTTTTAAATTTAATAAGTACTTTTTAATTAATTAGTAATATATTATTAAAGTAGTAATAGCTAAATAATGCGCCTAATTAATAGCCCCACTTATAGGTATTAATATAGCTATTATATTAGCTATAGATAAAGCTATAGGTATAACTATAAATATAGCTATTAAGAAGGTATCTTTATATATACTTGTTAATCTACTTTGTAGTATAGGATTTATTAAATAGTAGTATAACTTTAAAGATTACAACTATATTAATTCTCTTAATTAAAAGCTTTAATATATATATAGCTAACTTTTATTTATATATCCCTTTTAACCTAAAGAATATAACTTTTATCTAATTAATAAAAATACTAAACTCTTTACTAACTAGTTAGTAATAATTATAAGCTTTAGTAATTGTCACGGGCTAGAGCCCGGATTGATATCTCCGGCTTCGCCGGAGCAGTTACTGAGATCCGGCTCCGTTGGACCCACTATTCTGCCGCAGTACGCCGCCTAACCCGGCCTGCTTCACCGCTGTTAGGTGCCTACTCTTGTAAAGTCCTTTCTTCCTTCTTCAGCTTAGAATAGTCAATCGACGGCACCTCTACGTTGAACAAGCCTAGGGGCCAGCCCCTTACAGTAATATTCTACATAGCTAAGTATTAAGCTAATTGGTTATTAAAACTTTAAATATAATTTTAAGTTTTATATTTATAATAATTAATGAGCTATATTAACTATATAGCTTAATTAAAAGCTGAAAAAGAACTTAAAACTTCTAAAAAATAAATAGACATCTTATCTAAGTTCGATATAAGCTATAACTATTAAATATAACTTAATTTAATATATATTATATACTTAAGCTTTAACGTATCTAAGCTAGTAACTAGAAATAAAAAATATTGAGTAAACTAATATACTCTAATATTATTGATATAAAAACTCTATTTATAATAAAAATCTCCTTATCTTATTTTATAAAAGTATTTATATTAAGGAGCTGGAGCTTAGCTTCCTATTCTTATTACCAATAATCTTATTAATATCTAAATCTTTTATATAAACTTTAATTATTAGCTAAATTTATAAAACTCTAACTTTTATAATATTAACTTTATTTAACTTTTTTCTCTCTTAGATATAACTAGAACTTATAGTGACTAACTATAGAAACTATAAATATTTAATAAAAAGAGCTTAATCAATATAAGTAATAAAACAAGATTAATAAAATAGCTAAATAACAAAACCTTTATAACAAATTAAAGAATACTAGCTAACTAAAGAAGTTTTAAAACTACTAAGTCCTAACTAAATACTTAAGGGAGAATTTAAGTAAAACTAAATATAACTAGCACTATAAAAAAGATATAGAGCTAGTATTACTAATATTAGTGTAACTAGTAAAACTATACCTAATAATTAAGTAAATAACTTTATACCTATTAATTATATATTAATATAACAAAAAGGAATAAATTAATTATATAACTTTATCTAATTAGAATAAAAAGTGTAGCTATATAAATTACTTATTATAGTAATTCCTACGATTAGCTAAAACGAATAAAAACTAAGTAAAGGTTTGCGAGGAAAAAATGTATTATATATACGATGGATTTTTCCACTTAGAACAGATTTTGAGGAAGCAAGCAATTCAACAGTTTTATCCATTTAACTACTACTTATTATTACTACCTACTATTCATTATTATTAGTAGTATTTCTTTTATATTAGTAATAACTATTTATATTGGTTATAATTGGTTATTATTGAATACGAGGAATTCTATTATAATAATCAACAAAACGAAAAGTTTCCCCCTTTTATTATATTAAATACTACCCCTACTCTTAATAACATTACCTCCATTATACACGCTTTTACAGCGATAGACCTCCTAACTCTACACCTCTTAATAATATGTATACCCTTTAATTATATAATTATAATCTCTAACTATATCCCTCTCTTAACCTCAGCTGTATTTATATATATATATCACACTAAACATCCTTGTAATCTTTAATTTCACTTTAGTAATAATATATTTTATAATTACTTAATTACTATAGACTACTAAACTGTTTACCTATTCTCTCTCTCACGTATTACATACGCTATTAACACTATCTTTATAACTGCTTTACTATCTGCTATTAAGTTATTGTTATTATTATAGTTTTACTATTTAATTAAATTAGCTAACGCTTTTATAGTAGTTATATTATTATTAGTAACGCTCTCTCTATTTAGTGTAAAGCGTATTTACTATACTCCTCTATATAAGGTTTATATCCTCTTTAGTACCTTTACGTATTTTAGAGAAGAAGTTCTATTTATTAAAGTAGCTAAAAATATAATTAAACTTTGTGTTAATGTTATCTAAAGCTTTTTTAGTAAGAGAGATAATATTACTACTTATAAAGGTTTCTGAGAAGTTTATTAATAGAGCTATTAAAATAAGACGTTTTTGGTTTTTTTTTAGATTATTCTTTAAATAGGAGCTTTTTATTAAGTTTACTAAAGTTAAACTTATTCTAAATATATTATATATTATTTATAGAGATAAAGGTATTATTTAGTTTATATTTAGTAAACTTAAATACTTCACATAATTTAGATATTATAAAGATATTTTAGGATTTATTATAAGTTATTAAATAAAAAAAAAGAAGAGGGAAAAGTATAAAGCTTTATATATAATAGAGTTTTTATATTTCTAGCTATAAGAACCTCTTTTAATAACCTCTTTAGTTAAGGAGTTATCTCTTATATAGTAATATTTATAGTACCTCACTGAAAAGTTTAATAAAGCTATTATTAAACCATAAAAGCTTTAGTAACCTATTTAGCCTTAATATAATTAGCCCTACTATATATAGCGCTACTAGCTCAGCGCTATATAGTTAGCGCTATTACTATTCTATTAGTCTATTTAGCTAAGAGATATATTTAATTTTATGTAGTAATATTCAGAAGGTTTACTTACTAATAAGAATGTATAAGGTTTCTATACTATTTTCTTTAATTAATAGAAGATATAGGTTAAAGTATTTATATAAAATTTCTATAATTATACCTATATATAGAGTGAATTTTGCTATAGTCTTAAGTAGGGGGGCTATATTATAACTATAAACTTAATAATAATAATTCTAATATAGATGATGAAAATCTTATTATCAAAGAAATAAAAGAAGCTTTTAGCTTAATATTTATATATATTAAAACAAATCCTCTCATATAAATCTAATATATAAAAACTACTAAATCCATATAGGATATATTAAAAGAAACTTACAATTTTAAAAGATCTGTTTTCATAACTTATTCTTTTAGGACTTCCTAAATAAAAAGTTATTTAATTGTAATAATATTGAAGAATATATTAATAAAGTCAAAGAAATATCTAATAAGCTAAAAGTTTAAAAATTAGATATTTTTAAAAACTTATTATTAGTTTAGATTTTAAATAAGCTTAATAATAATATATCT